TTCAATGAAAAAATTTACTTCTGATAAATAATGAGTGAGTTGATTTATTCCTAGAATGGTGTGAAATCTGTTTTTCCTTTAGTTTATTTCTTGCTATCTTCTGCCTACTTTTGTACCATTTATGCTCAAATTTGGACTGCATATGAATAAAGACTAATATTATCTCGCGCACTTCACTGTATTGTCCTTAACATACCATTTCGTGTGAAGTTACATCTTAGTGTACTTATATTTACCAAGTTGAAATTCGCTTGTTATCTCCTAACTGTATTTTACCCCCTACAGTTCACCTCGAACGTGTCAAACCGTTACTGATCTTTATTTCTTCCGCGTATATCGAGCTTAATCTGGAATGGTTCCAAAATTAAATTTACCTTCAGGTAATAAACTGTCATCAATTTATGCAGTACCACAAATTCCTTCAAATTCCGTCTTCATTCTGAATGCAGTATTGGAGAAGAAGAACGCACATACCCCAACCTGCAACCCGTACGTTATCTCAGTAATTTTAGTGGTGTGAAGTACGTTTATATGATTGAATGGGAATCTCCTCTTCAACAGTTTTCATAGTAATGCAGCACTTAGCCCTGTTGAATCCTACTATTTGTCCCACCTTAAGCGATGCGTATGTATGATCTACCATTCAGAGCAACACAGAGCTTGTTGCTGAAACTGCAGAGTTTATTCTACATCTTTAACCTTTCAAAAATGACTCCCACCCGCACCAACATAAATAACTTTACAAGCAGTTGGTTTCGGAGCTGTTTGGGAGGACCATAGTGATGTGTCTCGACAGCAACACGGCCTCCTCATTAGTATCATACTTCCAGATGGATTTCCAAAGTTGTAATCGGAATTCGTGACTTGATGGGTCAAACGAATTAGTCGTGAGGGAAAATACCTAGTGAGGGAACTAGATGGTGGTTGTGCTATATCTTCAATTGGTAGACACAAAAGAATGTGGATTCTGATCAAGTGGCAGGATGATGATAATATGCTGGCCACAAAACATGGTGATCATGTTATCGATTCGCGATGAGGTTGCGGTTGCACGCTGCTTAGCACCCTTATACTATAACGGAACATTTATTTGTGGATTCCAAGTTTCATGGGTTTCCAGTTGACGTCAGTTCGTAGTGAAAGCAGTATCTGTGAAAAATGACCAATGAAGATGAAGGTTTTCAGGAGGCCTACGGTATTTTACCACTGTTGTCTTGGTGCCGTAGGCAGTGTATCATGGAACCAACCACATCAGTAATGATGAAGTCAGGTGTATAATTTCGGTAAAGGTAAGTCAGTTGATGAGGCGGTAAAAATCCATACTAGGGACGTTTGTTACACATACCCAATCACCATCCACCTTATCGTACACTTTCAGTTGAAGTAAATGTAGGTTAAGAAAGGTTATAATTGGCTAGATTAAACCATTGTATCAGTTTATTAAGTCGCTGGATATTGGTCTGAGCTGTGAAGAGAAATGTAAACCTTCCAGCAACTCTACGTGGTATGGCTAGGAATTGGTCTCAGTGACACAAATGCACCTACATCTTATCCTTATCCTAATCGTCATACTAAATTTTATGATAGTTCTGTTCCGTTTGATTCTCTTCTTACGATTTTTCACTACTTTCGGTTACTTTCTTACCATTTTTTGTATCTTTCATCGTTGTGCTGATATGGAGTGTGGCCAACTGCCTGAACTGTTACACGTTAATCCCGTGTCCTACCCTGATGATGACTAACAACGTAACACAATTAATATCTCATCCGCACTACAAACCTTGTTGTTGTTTACTAAAGGCATTCAAACTTTTGTGTAAGCACGTTTGAAACTTTTGCCTACTAACAGTTACCGAAAACCTATTCAACTCAGCTGCTTCACTCACCATTCGTAAATACTGGCCAATATCACGGAGGAAAATTATTCAGTATATTTTTATGAAAAAGGGTCTCAATAGGGAATACCCAAGCATACCCAGAGAGACCCTCCGACCGACTCAGTTAAGTAACAACCTGATAAAAATAAACAGCGTATAGTAAAGACAGAAAATGAGATTATCTAGTACATATACGGTGTATTAGCACCATACTTTTCGAACAACCTGGTCACATAGAAACTAAACAAGTTGTTTATATGAGAATTTGGAAATGGCAATTTAGTCAATAGGAGATATAAAGGTAGGAGAGATAATAAGAACATAAAAAACACGAATCTTAACTGCACTGCACTCCAGACCATAGTTGTTAATAATGTCCTGGAAGAAGTTGAGCTCCAAATCTGATTTAGTCATTCAAAGGGTATGTCTTAATACCGTCTTAGTGTGTTTATAAAATCAAAACAAGATTTTGTTTGAACGTTTCACTGTGTAAGCCACAGCTTTTTCAGCAGAATATACACACTACTGTCATTAGGAATGTTGTATTTCGTAATTCAGGAATAGTATAAAATGAGGGCATTTTATTTATTGACCGTTATTCAGTCATTTATGTTGAGTGCATAGGGGCATAATGCTACGCAGGAATATAAAAAACATACTGTGAAGCCCACATCTGAAGTAGAGTAAACCAAAAGACCACCCTAACAACTACTAAGATAACCAATTGCGTTTCTTTATTTTGTGGAAAACTACCTTTCCACACAAAGTATCATGTGGCTCTAAACGTTACCTAGCAATGACTGGAACAACCAGTCAGGTTTTTTATTTCATCCGGAAAGACAGTTTTTTGTAAAATGCAGAGTTCTTATTGGTTATCTCTGAAGTTGTTAGGATGGCCTTTAAAGCCCCTCTTGAAATGAGTAGCCAAGCTTATTTATGTTGTTGCATACACGCACATACGAGTGACCATAAAGGCCACCATAATAACTGCTGAAATAGCCAATTAGCTTCTCATATTTGGTGAAAAAACTGCTGTTCCAGCTTAAATAGAGAAATCCGATTGGTTATTTCAGTGGCTTCTAGAATGGCCTTTAGGGTCATTCTACACATGCTGTATGACTGAATTAATCAGCACAACGGTGATTAGTTAAGAAACATCAGTTGATGATAGACCGAAATCAATTTGTAATTCACACTAACATGGGTAAATTCAACTCTTAAAACCAACATATGGACTTAAATAATCAGGATATTTATAGAAGATTTCCTGAATGTGCATATTACATATTAGTCTAATTGTATAAATCAATGGTTACGTAGTGCCTTTTAATAGTAAATCATAGACAAACATGTAAAACCAAAGCGGTTTTCTTAATCTCACCCAATTCACCTGACAGTAACCAAGGTAATATATACAAAATATGGGTCACTCAATATTTTAGATCTCTTGCTTGATTTATGTGTCAAGCAATCATTGATTCGCTACGATTATGAAAATTTGTTTGATTTAACGAATGTAGAAAAATACCTATTATCGTGGACAGTCTATCCACAAATTACTAAAATGGGCATCAAAAGAATATGGTAATGAGGATCATTTGTCCCTTTTCTATACCACTAGAATTTCTACACACCTGTTCACATATAACCTGTCTATGCTATTTTCAATATTCAATTATTGTTTCACCTGTGACTCTAATTACTTTTACCATTTTGTAATGTATTAGTTGTCGCTTCTTGCGCTACAGAAAATGACCTCAAATCTCACTCCATTAACAGATAATTAGGAATATGCAGAGGATACTACATGTCCTAACAGTAAAGTGTTTTGTTTTTTGGAGTCTAGTGGATAGCTCCTGAGTTGCACTTATAATAGATTGTACTTGACGCTATATACTATACAAAACCGGCATTGAAGTAACACTTTCAAAACTTAATTCATTCTTTTTCCAGTCTTATTTTGCAGTTTGTCTTGCCTGCTCATCATTAATTACCTTCATTATTCCAAACAAATCTATTCTATGTCCTTCTTTCTGAGTTATCAACTCAGGTTTATCATCTGTTCTTCTCCCTCTGAAAGTCTCGTGTACCACCACTGCCAAAACTATACCTACGCTGTTTCATGTCTCTTTTAAATCAACTTGTCCGTTGGCTTGACCAAAATCTATTAACGACTTGTATAAACGTTTCCGTTATAAAAGCATGACAGAAGCTGGAAAACATAAACCATTGGACTGAAACGCAGTTTCAATAGATAAGAGTTTACTCCACTCGATCCTAACTATGACTATGCTAATTCTCAAATGACGATCCATAGACACAAGTCATAGTAATGTTCGAAACCCAGAAAGTCCAGAACAGGGTATTTATGTTTATTGTCTAGGCAACACTTCAACTGTCGCGCTTACAAGAGGTGAAGTCACCGAATCAATTCCAAGGGAGAATCAACAAGAACCAGCTGGGTAATCTACAGATAATGGACAGTTAAAATAAGAACATGCTTCTCAAACAAGCAAGCTGATCAAATGACCAAGACTTGTCCAGATAAAAAACATTAGTAAACATAACGAAGGCTAATCAAAATTAAGGTCATACGTAAAACAAGTAGACAAGTAATTTCATAAAGGGGGATATGTGTATGAAACTTCTGGAAGAAAGTCTTCCCAGCGAATAGTTTAAGTCACTGAATGACAATACTTTATAGAATGTCTAGAGGAATAACTCCATGATCAATGTCTGAAAATACCTCCTCCTCTCAAGCGATTCTGTTCCAATCGTTGTTCTTTCTTGATTCAAGTTCATAAAGGAAAATATGTGTAAGAAGAAGGTGAGTAGAACCGACAGTAAATGCAGATGAATTGTCAATCAAATAGGAGTAAGTGGATGAGCGAAAAGGCTGCACAATAAATAAAACTGGCTGGGATATGAAGAATAATTCAACGATGATGAATAGTCAAAACATACTCATCAAACCATACCTATGTACTCGTTTGGATTCCTAATTATGGCGAAAGAAGTATTTTCCTTGGTTTTCTTTATTTTTGAAAGTAATTTCAACTAGTCGTTTTCTTGAAATCAAGTAATTCCTTCACAAACCGTGTAATGGGACACCTGAGCTAACTTTCATTGATGAAACCATTTATGAATGAGGATTTGTCCCTCTACCTGGAAATAAAAGTGAATTGAAACATAGACTTTTCTAGATATCAACAAGCAATTACACACCATTGATTTATGTAAACCCCAGTAAAACACTTTACAATGAAATCAAAATCGAAATATGATGTAGTTCAGCAGGTAGAATATCTGAACTATAGTCCAGAAGTCAATGATCTATGCCATACTGGGATTCAGGTTTTATTACAAATGTGACCACCATAAGCTGGATACCTTATTATTAAATATATAAACAATGATTGACATACTTTCATTACATCTTGTGGAACAAACAGCATCTGAAATACAGAGGTTAGCTTTGTAAAGGTGGATTCCAATTCCCTGTTCTGTGTGAAGTAAGTGAATGCCTAATCCATGTGATAAATGAATTGGAATGTGATGAATAATTTTGAATGATTTTCTAGTATCCACTTGATATCCCGTGACCTTGCCTGATAATCTGATTGTCACAACTCTAGAATATACAGCAGAAACTCAGTTGACAGAGATCCTTACCAGTTATACAAAAAACTAAGTCGAGCGTTCTGAACTGTGCAATGGACTCAGGTTTTAATTCTAATCTACATCGTCAAAATACCACTGATGAAAGTTGTCTCCATAGTACAACAACATGTATTTAATAATCTTTGCTAAGTACCAAGGAAAATACTGACAGTGAAAGTAATAATTCTGATAGAAAGGAATAGTGCAGAAGGAGATGTTAGTCACGCCTGAATCCAGCATAATAGAGGCTCTTGGTGTACTATGGACACATTTATCAGTGTTTTTATTTCCTAGTGTATTTATCTGTTCACTATTCCTATTCTGTCAGATATCCCTTCTTCTTGAACTTCTCTTGTTATCATCCTTGCTATTATTATTATTATTATTACTATTATATTATTATTATTATTATTATTATTATTATTATTATTATTATTATTATTATTATTATTATTATTGTATTTTGAGGTTAATGGGGATTTCATTTTTAAGGTAGCATTTGTCACGGACTGATATTAGTCGCAGAACCATTGAAAACCTGGCAGCACTGGACAGCTGTTTCGTCCTAGTATGGAACCTCTCAGCAGTGCGCACCCAAGACCAGGATAGGGATCTAACTCAGTGCACTCAGGTCTCACGGAGAACGCGCTAAGTGGGTAAGTACTGCTAAGGAGTTTCATAAAAGGACGGAACAACTATCCAGTGCTCCCAGCTTTTTAGTGGTTCAACAACCGATGTTACTCCATAATGAATTTATTACTATTGTTATTTATTAGTATTATTTGTCGCTTGAGTTCCTAGTGGAATACAGGGCTTCAGTAGCACGTCACCATTTTACTCTGTTCCCTGCAGTCTTTCCGACCTGGCTCCACGACTACCAATAAACCTGCATTTCTTCCTCACACCATCTCCTCCGTGTCACCCTCGGACGCCCAAATTGTCAATTCACATTTCGGCTCCACTCGAGAGACTGGTTTGGCCTGGTGCGTGATGTCCCCAAACCGTCTTCTCAGTGTGTGTCCAATCCAATCCATCTCCACTTTCTTCTGCATATTTGTTGAGCGATAAGTTGTTGGTTGGTTCATTGCCAGCCAGAGTTCCTTGTTGCTTACTCTTATTATTCTGGCCATCTGGTCTTCAGTGTCAAGCGGAAGCGGAAGCTGCTCATGGATGTCTGTAGTTTTTTGGAAATGCTTTGCGTAACGCACCAAGTCTCTCAACCATCACATAAAAGCACTGACTTACTTGACTGAATTAGCGATGAAAATCTGGATCTTGTTCTTTGTGCTGAGTGCAGTAGATCTCCACACTGATTTCACATTAATGAAAGCCTGTCTTGCTTTTCTGATCCTGGTTTTGACATCCTTATCTGTGAAACGATGCTACCTAGGCAGGCAGGTGAGAGAGACAACTTCCTTCAGATTTCTTTCGTTGATGGTGATTGGTACTTGTTGCTGTTGCCGGTTGGGTATCTTCATCAACTCTGTCTTCTCTACGTTCACCTGAAGGAAGTCCCGTCTTCGCTGCCTTGCCTCTTCCATCAACTTGTTGGTTTTTGCCTGCACATCTTCAAATTTGTGCGACATTAAGCATAAATCATCATCGAGGAAATCAAAGTCTTCTAGGGTCTTTTCATAGGTCTAACAGCGTATGCCCATCTTCTTGCTCGTCACAATTTGTTGCATGATCTAGTCCAGTCGTCCACGATAGGGGAGATCGCTGATAGTATGCAACCTTGTCTTCACTTCAAAACACATCACTGAGCTCTCCATTGTGAACCTCACCTAGTTTACTAGCCGGTCCTAAGCTCGGAAGAAGAGGGAAGGTTGAGTGTGGGGGTAGCGAACCTACCCCGTAAAATCAACCCAATAGATGAAGAAACTTCATTCCATAATGAATGCTACCCTAATTATCACCATTATTATTATCGTTACTGTCCAACTAGCATTTCAGTTTTCTTTAGTTTTGTTATCTTATCAAGCTTCTTAGTTGATGTTCATTTGCCCTGTTCAAAATCATGCAATTTTTAATCCTCTCAACTTTCACTATCGATCTCATCATTATTATTGTTACCATTATTATTATAATTAATTTTTTTCACCTAACACATGGTTCTTTAATTGCGCACTACTGTCAAGGCCACCCTAGCAACTGCTGAAATAACCAATCAGCTTTAAATATTTCGTCTGGAAAGGTATTTATTTTCAAAATGAAGAAAGATGATTGGTTATCTCAGCAGTTGTTAGGGTGCCCTTTAAAGTCACTCGTTGGTGACTGACTGTTCTGTACAAAATGACGTAATTCCTTCCTAGTCTTCTCAACGTTCCTTTATAATTTATTAACCTCCTCTCCAATCTATTCACAGTTCTATTTGACCTGTTTAACTTATTCACTCTGTATTGGCACGAATCATTCAATGTCTTAGTTTGCATTATATAGTGTGTAGGTATTCCTTCACTGCATAACAGTATATAATATCGTGTGTGTAGAGTAAAAAACTGACGAGTTCCAATGGAACCAATGAACTCAATAAAGCCTGCTTTGGTAACAATTACGTTTGTTTCCGAAGAAATCTGTTGTCATCAACAGGAATCAAATATTAAGAGATGTCATCTTTTTTTCTCAGAATATCTATAACTAATTATAAGAGTTTTCTTAGTGCACCACAAATGCACGTGATAAAGCTTGGTCATACAGACTTACGTAAAAGTGTATAGATGTCTAGTTACTAAGTTACAAATTTTAACCAAACGTTCATCACTTCAGCCGTTTGAACCTCCTAAGAGAGGTATGGTTCACAGTAAAGTATTCCAAGCTCTAGATGTCGTTGGATTTCAACCACTCTGTCACTCAGTATAATTCATCAATATACAGCCCACTAAACTAATTTGTTAAACAGACAACGATCCGAAGCATTAGGTATGTGAATGAATAACAGACAGACTTATTTATTGCACAGTCTTGTAAGAGTCTCAGTAACATTCCAGATACCTATGGTCCCAGCTACAGCATCAATGAATAAGTTCTTGGTAGGTAGAAGTTGTAATTTTTCTTATATGGTTTCAGATACTTCCTTCGGCTTCAGACATAATCATTGATTTTCATTTTGACTACCTGAGATAGCCGTAGTTTGGCAGACCACTAATAATACTGGGTGATGATTGAGGGTAAAATGAAAATTCGGACCGTGGCCTGATTCGAACCAGTGACCACCGGGTTTTCGGCCCGATAATCTACCAACTGAGCTACGACGTCTAGCTGATGGCCAGATTTTTATTTCACTTCAATCACCATGGGTTAGACCCGACTACCATGTGAATTTGTGACGCTTTACTATCGCTTGATTGTATTCACACTGGCTGCCTAGTCAGGACTTCTCATCCAGATCCAAATCTAACTGAATCAGAGAGGGGGAGCATCATATTGATTATCACTTTGACTATATGAGATAGCCGTGGTTCAACAGACTAGTATTTATACTACGTGATGACTGAACCTGAAGTGAAAATTTGGACCGTGGTCGGATTCCAACCAGCGACCACTAGGCAATCAGTGTGAATACGATCAAGCGGTAGTAAAGCGTCACGAATTCACATGGTAGTCGGGTATAACCCATGGAGATTGAAGTGAAATAAAAATCTGGCCAACAGCTGGATCTCGTAGTTCAGTTGGTAGAGTATCGGGCCAGAAACCCAGTGGTCGACGGTTCGAATCCGGTCATGGTCTAAATTTTTATTTCACCTTCAATCATCACCTAGTATAAATTATTGATCTCCTAAACTTTAGATTTACATTGATATCAAGATCTTAGCGATGTTAAATTGTTCAGATCAAGTGACCCCTATTAACAATTTCATTTTCTTCATATAATACTTGTTCAATTTGCTTGAGGTCATAGACTAATCTTTACGTAAATATTCACTTAAACTTTTATGATGACTGAAATTAGATATCAATATAAACGAACTAGGTGATGATATTTCAGCGGTGTTACATTCACTACGAAGAGGTGGTTTAGTTGTGAGTGAACGAACTTCTTTTCAAAGTTTGTACTGACAACACCGTGAAATATAACAGTGAAGGCTACGATATGCTAAAAAATACCATACAGATTATACAATGCGAAGTGCTAACAAATCGAACCTCTTAATCTAAAAATATTCTCCACTACCTCGAAATCATAACAACACTAATAATATAATTGGCTATGGCTAGCAGAGGATTCCAGAACGCGCGTTTCGTCCCAATTGGGACTTGTCAGCCGGATGTGCCTGTACTTCACTGAATCATGTTGTTCACACTGAGACTTGAACCTCGTATACATCGCTTCAAACCCTAGGCGTTATCACGCAGATGCATACAGCTGAGGAGTCCCAAATAGAGCAAAACTAGCGTTCTGGATTCCCCTGCTAGCTACAGACAAGTGAATTAGCATAACAGATAATCAAGCAGCATCGAGGCATCCACATAAGATCTTATATGGCAATAGGAGTCGAACAATTCGA